TTCTATTTTCAGTGCCGTATGTACACATTTTGGGTTTTAATTAACTGCCGCAGAACATTAATCGCTCTTGTGCTATTAAGACTTGAGTTGTCAACCTTTAAGCTGATTTCATTAACTTCTACATAGCTGCTCATTATGTTCTGAAATTGGCCACCTAGTTTAAAAATTGCAAAGTGGATCGCCACATTTTGATTTATTATTCTCTGCTCAGTTACATTTGTCCACAAGAGTGCATTTGGTAAATGGTTTCCATTCACAAGTGCAAACCAATCATTTCTAATACCCTGCAATGTCTCAATCAATGATATATAATGTATTTTAAAGCACTTACCAAATAGCTAACACCTGATTTTGAATTCCACTGTGTTTTAGCAAGTATGTGCGTGTCTTTGAATGAGTTAATCCAGTAAATGCTTGTGTCTGCCAGGCCACATCAGAATAAATGATGGGTCCCTGTGTGATGATGAATGGTAATTTAGATTTAACATAACTGGACTAACGAGCACACTAATGACTCCAAAGCTAGCCTGGACAGCTCTCACTCGATGGGCTCATGCCTTGCATCCCAATGAGCTGGGAAAAGGGCACCCGTCCACACACACACTCTCAAACTGACATACGCAGTGTAAGAAAAAAAAAAAAACATGCAAAAGAGTATTAATAAATGCATGAATACACAATCATAAATTTACAAATGGCTCTGACAGAGAAGCACACACAGCCAACCGTGCTTGTGCAACACAGGATGAGGTTGTGTGTGGTTGTGTGGGTGGTGTTCACTGTATGTTACTAAGAGCTTCATAAGTAGGGGGGAGCAGTAATGTCAGGCTAATATGAAGCTGATTAATTAATAATTACGCATCACTTGGTTTTCAGGCAGCTGAATTGGATGCAGTTTTTGTTCACTGATATTTCAACTCAAGATTTTCTCTCTCCTGACACGAAGATTAATGAAAATAAATGATAAGCACTTGATCATTTCAGATATTAATAGAAATTGCTGAGGATTTTCCCCCCTACCTAAGCCAGAAAACTTCATGAATATATTGAGACGTGACTATTCAGAGGACTGTTTATCTTGAGATCTGAAAGTATTATATCTTAAGAAAATTCTTAGTAACTCAAGGGTTACTGCAAAATCACCGCTCCCCGTCATTAACACGAACAGCTTCACAGCAGCCAGTGCTTCATTACTGCCATCACTTTTTGCGTATTTGTAGAATCACATTCTCAAATGTGGGATGTGACTTTATCATACAGCTTCTACTTATTCTTTTATGGATTTAAGAAACTGCTTCCTTCTGCCCTTCATGTGCAAACTCAATACCATTTAAAACACAGCAAACTCAGATAATCTATACCTCTTCATTCCCCGAAACAGCCAATATGTGTCGCTCATCATGGAGCCCATACTCAGCTAATACCTCTCACTTACCAAGCCAGATACTGGAAATCCACTCTATTTTTAAAATACCTAACAACCATCTCCAATGAGCTTATACACCCTTTGATGATATAGAGTGAGAAAAAAGCACACTTAACTGTAAGGATCACTCTAATTTCTACTTATAAACAAACTGTTCTCACAGACTTTTCCCCTTCTGATTCCCAAGACAGTTGTACTCAGCCAAGACTTCTCTTTTTTTGCACAAAAGACACAACTTTGACATAATTATTCAATATTTATGTTGGTTTAAAGGTCTTGGAAAGTATAAAAATCCATCAACACATTGAATAAGCACCGTGAAACCATAGCTACTGTTCCCTTATGATTTTGTCAGTCAAACAGGGTTCAATAAAATAGGCTTGAGGTTTGCTATAAAGAGAAGTAAGAACTTCTTTTTGCTATTAGAAAATGGTACATTTTAAGCCTAACCTTGATGTTTTTTACGAATCATACCCAAGCAATTTGGCGCCCAAACCTAAACCAAATCCTTTCTGAAAAAAAACGTGTAGAGTTTGAGTCCTGATAGGAACTCCCAGGTTGTACGTACAACCTCTGTTACAATTTCTCACTTAGAAAATCGTCATTATCCATTATTAAGCCAATAGTCAGTATTTGATTACTTTGGAGAGGAGACTGTAGTCCCCCCTTTGCCAGGAGTACTTTCAGATGTTTTTTCATGGTGAGGTCATTTTCAAAACTGACCATGATTCACTTTTTAGTCCTGAGCTCACACATGTGAAACTGAGAAAGCTGATACTGTGACTGGTGCAGATGGACACCTGAAGTGTGACACGGATGATCTGGGCAGTAAGCTGGTAAAAACACGAGAGCTGAGAGGATACCATGAGCATACCACTGCTCATGACGTGCCCACATTCTTGCCAGACGTTTACGCAGCCCGAGATGCACTGGAGAGAGCACCGGAACCGCTTCATATTTAATGATGTCCTCTCAAAACGCAACGTTCTGGCCTTAAACCGCTGCGTGACAGTGAGGAAAGAGGTTAAATATAAAGAGAGGAGTGAAATGTGTGTGTCTTGGCCAACCAGTTTCTGTCATATTTCATAAAAAGAGACGGACAGAGTTGCTTAATGCAGTGTAACTTCACAAGGTGACTTTCACTTTTCTGTGACTCCTCTCAAACACACACACAGACTGAAGCACGCACATACTTCAATCTGTTTTCTTTTTTTTGATCAGTGATAAAACTCATGATTCCCTTCGTGTCTAATGGCCAGTTTTTGCTTGTCTTAGTGGAGAGCACAGTCTCGCAAGAAAAGTTACAATAGGGTGTTCGTCCACATGTGCAGGGAGCAAGATTGTTTTGATTGTTTTTTTCTGAAATAATAACAAGATCATGTTTTACCTTTCCTGATCTGTAAAGAAAAGCAATGCAGTGATACACCAGTTATTTCACGTTAACCAAACATTGCTTTTTTGGATAAGCCACCAGGGTTGTACAAACTTTCGACCCTTGATGAAAAACTACGAATTTTTTACTAATTCTATTCAATCTTCTCAAAACTTTTTTTTTGCTTTTTCTTTCATGGGAGAAAGAGGAGCAAGAAAAACAATATTTTTTTATCTATTCTTATAAGCTTGAGGCATTGAATTGTATTTCTGCCCTCTGAGCGCTTGACATCTTTGCCTCACCTCCAGTGGGCCTCCCTTACACCTCCATTTTATTCGTTATTTTCACTGGATGCCAAATTGGCTTGACTGCGAGCTCGGAAAATACAAAGGAAGTGGTGGAATGGGAATCAGAGTGTTAGCATTACTCTTTAATGATGTTTCCAACAGAGTTTTTATCAGAAAATCAACTCACACACAATGGCTGCCAGAAAGGCAGCCAAAAAAGCGCGGCTCACAATTACAAAGCTGCGTGCACAATAAGAGTAGGGTGCACCCTGGGAGAGATAATCTGACATTTCAATGTCACATTAAGACAAAAAATATGAAGCTTTTCTGTTGCACAGGAATAGGTTTGTAATCCCCTCATAGACATAAAAAAGCAACACAGTAATGAAAAAGTTTTGGTGTACTAACTCATTTAAATCATTGTGGTTGTCACTTTTTATTTGCACCCTGGTGTAATATTGGATAGTCAATCACACATATACACAGACTGATATGATACGACTTGTTGCATACAGTTTAAAAATCCGAAGGAAAGAACCTTAATTTTTAAGGGGTTCTTAAGAGAAATATCTCAGGAAAAAGAAAACAAAATCATCTTCAGCCATACTCAATGCAGCCATTGAGTAAACATCCCCTAAGAAAAAATAGCAAACAACGGCATCAGTATAGTTGAATAGAGCATGCTCTTGTGTATTTATTGTCTTCTCAATTGTAAGAAAAGACAAAGAGCAGATATTTCTGTGGCTTTCCCCTAATGGGAATATAGGTGAGTATGGTAAAATACCCTGGCATTTGTCTAAATTGTACATATCTGTGTGTACAGCTGTAGCCTGTAATTTGAACTCACAACAAAGTCAAACGGAGCAGCTGTTTGTAAAGCTCCACCGGTCCAACTGTCAAAATTGAACAAGTATTGGAGGGGAAAACCATGTTTGTGTGCAGAAGTGTGTGTGTGTGTGTCCCACATGTCAGAATATTCCCTCTGCAATTGGCTTGTCTCCCAACCTTGAGCACCCTTTGTAATGATTGCATTTCTGTGGTCACGTTCTGCCTCAAGATCTGTCTTATATCTTTGACGCATGGGCGCCGGATCACAGACCCTGAAACATACCCTCTTGTACCTGAAGTTTGGTTAAAAAAAAGAATGATGTGTACATACTGTAGGTGTGTGTGTCTGTGTGCGTGCTATAGATTTTCCAAAGTAAATTAAAGTAGATACATGTTTTAACCTGTCAAAGCTTATCCACTTTTTAGACTTCCAAGTTAATTTAAATCTTCTTGTATGTGTAATAACTGTATATGTATGTATGTCTGCCTGTGTTTGTGCTGTATGCTAGTGTTTATGAGTGTGTGTGTGTGCGTACACAGGGGGGTCAAAAGAGAACAGAGCGTTACAGCTTTCTGCTGTTCAGTGATTTTGGTTTGGCTGGCCTTTTGGCTTCTCTTTGAGTCAGCGGGCTCAGCAGAGCCATCACACCCTGGCAACAACTAGCACCTTGGCGAAGACAGAGGGTCTGACCTGAAGGAGAGGGATGAGGCCATGTGGGGAAGACAGAAGTACGGGAAGAATGGAACAGAACAAGAAATGAGGAAATGAGAGGCTCAGAAGCAAAAAAGAAAAGCTTAGTGAGCGGTATTATATTTACTAAAGGAATTATAGAGGAGGATAGAAAAGGGAAAGTTACAAACTATTTAAGGCCGCTTTCCCAACAATGAAAATTATATCAAATTGATCAGACTGGGAACTTAGTGGTTGGTCAAAAAAGGATTGAGGATATTGAGAGAAAAGAGAGGCAGCCCTTTGATATATGCAGTATATATATACATATACAGTATCTATATATATGTCACAGGTCTCGTAACAGGTTTACAAGAGAAAAGGCAATATCTGTTGAACTGTTGGACTAAGAACAAAATGGCGGTAAGGTAAAAAATTATTTTCCTCAAGATATTTAATGTAATTTAAAGTAATCTCTGTAGTTTGAAAAGAATGTTTCTATGTGACCCCCAGTGATGTCAAGAGCTCAAACTAAAGTAAGCGAGATCATGTTTAGGGCGGGGCCGGGAGTATACCTTGTTGCCAGCAGCCTTACATAAGCACAATTAATCACATCCTACTGGGTCGCAGGATACGAAAGAGGATAGATGTTGATGGGAAAGAGGGGAGATGGTAGGGAGATTGGTGATTTGAGATGGAAATCAAGCGGTGCCAAAAGGCAATTTAGAAAAGATGAGAGGAGAGGAGTCAATAAAGAGAGACATTTGCAAAATCATTTGTACTGGTTTAAGGTGAAATGGCCTCATCAGGAAGTCGTCTTTCTCTATATTCATCTCACTGTAATAGTGGAGTCCTTCTTTCGTATATTACATGTGAACGAGGAGTCATCATATATTAAACTATGTATTTGTACAGCAATGTCTGATTAATGCTCATCATAGTTAACTTTTTTTTTGTAATTTTGGTTAATTTGGAGATGTGTGGTTTCAAATTCATCAAAAGACACCAATATTTGGTACACACCCATATTTATTTTTTTTCCCCATCATCTTTCTTTATCCCTACTGAGCCAAATGGAACTAAAACCTTAAAACCTCAGGTTTAACAGTCAGATTTCAGCTTTTGCTGAACCTCAAAAAGCATTTATATTTTATTTCGCCAGCTTTAGTATTTTAAGATTCAATCCAGTAGAAATCTATTAAAAAAATAGGTGCAGTTACTCACAAATTTTTCAGTTCAACAGCTGAGCTTTCCCAGGCTGATTTCCAATGGCAACACTGGTAGAAATGTCAATTTTCACAGAGATGAATGGAGTAAATTCTTCCTATTTGGCTGTTCAAACACTTGAGAGTTTATCAAACAAGATCCTTTTTGCACACACTCACACACAGATAAATATCCATGCAATAGCATTGCACACAAAAGTTCGCTTTGGCAGCTGCATAGACTTACATGATAGAAACACACAAAGAAAACACACATGCATAATTTCACACCAGGCAGCCACTGAAGAGCAGTAAAGAAGGCCCTAAAACCCCGTGGGAAAGTTCAAATATGAGACAATTCAACTGCTAAAAGCTCTTAACTATACCCTTAAAGACCCTCAAAGCCTGTTTGCTGATACCATAGTGCTTTTAGAGCTGAGTGTTAGAATCTTCAGGGTGAAAAATCACTTCATCTCTCAAGCTGAAATCTCCTGGTCAAAAAAAAGGAAAAAAAAACACCCTCAAGGACAGGAGCATTCATTCGAATATCCCACAAATTCTCTGACCCTCACTGCCAATTCTTCACTAAAACATCATTGCAATCCCTTAAGAAAATGCAAAAGCCAACGGTGCATGCACATGCACTCATCCACACGATACAGACACACACATTCAGCTACATGTGCAGAAGCGTTGCACAGGACTGCAACATTGTGTGACTGATTACTTCAAGGGTCGGTGAATCTCACTGTCTGACTCAGCGAGACAGAATACAGCTGTCCACCCCCAAAGAGCTGGCGAGCGTAGGTGCACACACACATTTATCTGTGTATGTATCTGTGGTCCATACTCTACGTGAAGGAGTGGACGAGGTTAAATGATAATATGGCCTATTCGGGTTGAAAACATGTCTGGGGCCCTCCTTGTTGTTGTAGCTCTCAGCTTCCTGAAAGAGACGGTTATGAAGGAGTTAAGCCAAAGTGTGATTGAAGGACTGAAGTGTCCATGCGTTTGCTTTTGCCTCCTCTCCTGAAGCTGTAATGAGGCCTTGGTGAAGATTTTGAGGGGCTCTTCATACTCAATGAGCCTTTTAGGCCTTTGGTTAGTTCTCAGTCTGTCTTTTCAGTTTCTGTGGGAAAGCTCTCTGTAAAATAAACTGCAGTCAGAGCCCAGGTCTGAATACATTTCAAATATATGTATATATATGTACACGTCTACAGTAAGAATACAACATTTCCAGCTTTAACACTTCTACCTAGTTTGTTTCAAATTATTGCCTGACAAATAACATTTTTCATTTAATCCGTCCAATCAATATTTAATTTAGTTGGAAATAACCTTTTGGATCTTGAAACAACTTCAATTTACAAACTATACAGTTTAATCTACTTTTCTTTTACATTTTACCTTTCAGTGTATCTTAATACTGTATACAACTTCAGTCTCTTTTACACTTGATATGTTGACAGCTTTAGATTTTGTTTGTGATTATTATTCATCAGTCATGATTGTTTTTGCGACTTGTACAAGTACAACCAAATTTTAGATTTAAGTTGTATTTCTTTTCTTCACTGTTTGCCATACATAAAGTAGCTATTCACCACAACATTCAGACCATTGTTGTTTTAGTAAGAATACTATGACTTGATATGTTGCCATGTCTTATTACATGGTATCTTAACTCAATTATATCATGTAGAAATCAGAAAAAATTATGTCTAATAAAGTAGATGGCAGAAGATTACGCCTAAAATGATTCAATTTTTCTTATCGGTTTTAAATGTGAAATTTGTCTTTTGAGCGTGAATAGTTAAAAAATGAAAAGGAGTGAGGGTCTGCATGTAGATGTGGCATATGCTAATAAATAAGTTATTTCTGCAGATAATTTACTGCATATCACCTCCACCCTTATGTCAGCTGTAGATGCCATCACTTAATCATCACATGCTTTTTTTAAATTTTGTGTCACTCTCATAAATATGACATATGCCCACATGCGACCGATTCCATTAAGGTGGGCCCAGCAAACTCAGCCTGTACGTAACATTCAGATTTACTGAGTATAATCCATGGACTATTTAAGGTCGATTCCCTGTCCATTATTTTGCAAAATGAGACTGTGTTTTGCTTTGTGTGTCTGCTTTACCTGCTTTCTTTGCAAGGTCAGCTTCAGCACTTCAATTTCACTTAGGCTGACATGTCATTGACAACCAACAGTGCTGCTTCTGCAAATGCTTTGAATTATATTAGGGTTGGAAAAAGGTGAAACATTTCCATGTTAATGCTCTTTAAAGTTAGATCTAATGAGAAAATCTCAGATGGGTTCATACTGATGATCAATCCACACAACTATAATTAGCCACTTTAAATCCTCACAAACAAATGAAAATTGCCACCTATTTAATATCAATGTAAATAATTTCAAATCGTTCAGTCCCTTAAAAAATTAAAGGCATAAAATAATCCCTCTAACACACTTATTGCAGAGAAATATTGTTGCTCCATCAGTGAGATGGATTGTCACTTCAGGACTAAGCTGAATTTTGAGAAAACCTTAAATAGAAAATAAAAATCTTATTCTGTCACATCAATTACTGCTTTAAGACACAGTTGTTATCATATTCTGATCACCAGATTCAACAATGCACTTATGAACAAGGTAATAAAATCACTCCACTGTGTTTTCAGTTTGTGGTTATGTCCTTACAATAGACTATTGATTTCAGCTTTTGGAGCAATGTAGGCTGAAGTGCACCAACAGGTGTTCGCCGAGGGGTTTAATAAGAAATTAGATTTTGATGAATGAAAAAGCAAAGTCTGATATTCAAAGGTAGAAAATCTGTACAAGTTATGGTGTTTTTGCTCTTGGTGTGATTTAGTTCAGCCTCTAGTTCTCACATTGATTAAGTCTGCCTTGTGAATTCCTCTTTAAGAAAAATACTAGGATATTATCTTGAGATTTTTTATTTTTCTCTGAAAACTATTTGTCTTTCAAACTGGATAAAAATCAAATTCAAAAGTCTAATGCACTGGTGAAAAACACTTTAATAGTGCGTCAGAAGTCATGTTTAGTAACTCAGTCATCACTCTTCTCTGGCTCTCCTCCTACAGACTAAAACTAATGTTAGTGATTAGAAGAGAGACTAATCGCTCTGAACAACAAGTCGATATTGGTTGTAATCACAGCCATAAAGTTATAATGTAGTGTTGTATTTTAGTGACGGTAGCATTTCAGACATTCTGCCTGTTTATTGATCTCTGTCTGTTAAGGCCCACTAAGCATAATTGAGATGAATAGAAAGTTTACATTAATACACATAAAGACTTTAACTCTTTGAGACAAGACTTGTTGACAAGACAGAGAAGAAACTGGAAATTAAATGTACAGACAGTACAATCATTTTATAGATTCGTAAATTAAACAGACAAGTTGTGAATTATAGGGAAGATCTGTCAAAGTATTTATTTACACTATCTGAAATACTCAAACCAGACGATAAGAACATGGATAGAATTCTGTCCTTACGGTTTACATTTTAAATAATTTTGATCTCATCGTCCTCAGAGATATAAAAATGAGGTTATGCCTTTGAAGATGATATTCAAAGGGGCTGTTTGAATATTGCTATTCTATTACTATTAAAGTGGTACTATTGAAAAAAAAGCCTCACTTCATTCATTCGTTTTTTTCTATTTCACTGTAGTTTGGGGCCATGCAAAGCAGGGTTCAGCCACTATTAATGCCAAATATTAAGATACAACCTTATAGAATTGTACTAGTTTGGAATATCGGATTGCCATAAGATTAAATTCTATGGTGACATGTTGTGTGTGTGAGAGGGTGTGTGCATGAGGGAAGAAAGATTGACGAGTAAGGCTTTGACCTCTGGGTGTTGGCTGCAGCAAAGACACATGTGATAACATCACCCTCTTTCTCTGTCTCCCACACACACACACACACACACACACACACACACACACACAC